GTCCCAAACCCACTCTTCTTTAGCCCCTAGTAACAGAATCCTCCATTTCTAACTGAGCCTAAGGCTACCCAGAATAAGACGATCAATAAAATACAAGCAGAAGTGTCATATAACAGCTTCCAGAAATTTCCTGAAAAGACGGCCAGTGCATGACCTTTGCTGCCGCCTTTCCTTGCCTTCGTTCTGCTTCCTGGACATGATGGATGGCATTCTAGAACACGCCCTGGGCCTCGCACACACGCTCGGGACAGCAGAGCGGTGGGCTGGAGGGCCCGCGAGGAGAGTGGAGTCCCCCGCTACCGGTCCTGGAATGCCTACCAGACTTTTTATATAAGACAGAGAAACCCTGCTGTGCTTCGGTAAGTCATCTTATTTTGTGGGTACGTTGTGGATCTAATCCTAATACAAGTGTCTCCAGTCTATTCATGGGATTAAACCAGCGGCTCCTCTCAGAGGTGATTTTGTCCCCCTGCAGCCATTTCTGGTTGTCCCCCTGCAGTCAGTTGTTGCAACTGTGGGTGTGCTTGTGGCAGCCAGTGGGGGGAGGCGAGGGGTGCTGTGAACATTCTACCATAAACAGAATGGTCCCCACAACAAAGAATTATTAATATCTAGCCCAAAATGTGAATTTTGCCAAGGCTGAGAAACCTGAGGTTACACATATATCTCAGGAAGGCCTTTACGATAGCCTGGCGGAAGAACGAGGTGCTCTGATTACCCAGCATTCTCCTCACCAGAGCATCTCCGCAGTGATGAGCAGCTCTCAGAGAACTGCAATACAATGAATCATGCGACATGACATCTAGCCAAGACTTCAGATTGGTGGCATATGGGAGAATATCCCATTCAAAAGAGACTCTCAATGCTAGTTGCATGTTCCAATCCCCTGATGCCCAGGTTCCACTCCAAAAAGTTACGTAAAACTCTCCCATTCCATGGGGGACCAAACATTTTTCTTTAGGGCACTTTTTACAAACTCACTAAAAAATTTCGCAGTGTACACAGCACCGGCTGCATTCCTGGGCCACAGTCTGCCCACTCCTTCCCAAGAGGTCCTTTAAAGAGCAGAACCTCTGTTTTCTGTTACTTAATGTTTGCTTTGACTCCAGCTTTATCTTCAAAATAAAGGAACACACAGTTCCTTCTCTGGGGAGGAGGTAGTTGTCCAGCTCCGCTAACAGATGCTGAGCTCTGAGCCCTGTTTTGCCTTTCCCACCTGTGCTCACCGCCCCACTGCCCACGGTGGTGGGGAGGCCGGGGAATCTATTCAGCTTGCCCCTTCATATCCAGCATCAAGATGCCATTCAGATTTGGGGGCTCCTGTTTTATTAACAGAGTTGATCGCTGCTTGTACCAGAAGAGCCTGGAAAATTCAAAGTCTTAAACCCAGTCAGTCACCACATCCTCGCTTTGACTTCTTGGAAGAGAAAGAAAGTAGCCAAGGAAAGCGAGATATCCAACTGTAATTTTTTTAAAGCCTGGGTGACTTTAATAAGCAGTCAGGATTTAAAAAACACCCACTAACTCAGTGTATTTGAAGGAAGTATGTCTAGCCCTATAATCCTCCTGTGAAAGCATCTCGGGCCCACTCAGAAAAAAATGCACACCACAGAACTTCAAATGCTACCTTCAGGGTTTGTTTGCTTCTTTGTTTTTAATGCATTCCAATATCGCCGAGTTAAGTGACTTTTTTTTCCTTTAGAAAGTAGGCCTCTCTGTCTCTCAAATATGTATCAAAGGTGGACAGTTTTGTCAACTCTGTAGTCTAAAAAACGGTGCCCTGCCTTAGGCAGCCAGTCCTAAAATTGTATGAGAAGCGAGTTGAAAATAGAGAACCAGAGCACTCATGACGTGAGACAGCACGGCGCTCCCATGTCATCAGAAGGAGCACAGGAAGGTGTGGCCCATGACTGGAGCAGGACACGTCACCAGTGGCAGCCAGCTGATAAGCCCCCCATGTTGGCTCCAGACAGGGGTCTGATAGAGAACGATTTCGCCCTCAGTAACAAAAGGCAGACCTGAGCCTGGCCTAGAGAGCGATTTCTCTGTCGGACACACAATAAGTAGCCAAACAACAAGATAATTTATGCAACACCACCTACGTCTTTGAGCAAACGATCTATCTCTGCCATGGCAGAGTTGTTCCTGGTAGCCTCTCCAGCTCAAGCTGTACGAGAGGCAGAGAATAAAGGTTAGCCCTCGGGTCTGTTCCTAAGATGCAGTGAGTAGGGACGGCAGCCCCGTGGACAGAAGACACACCAGCGCCACAGAACGGCCTGGCGTTCTATCACACGGCAGAGCCCAAGGAATTCTCTGAGCCACGGGTCCAGGGCAGCTGCCTCAGCACAGCGCGACAGGTACAAAAGGACTCCGAAAGTTAACCCTGGATGTGTGCACCTACCGCGGGGACAAACGCCTTTCACAGTGTTCTTCTCCCAAGGGATTTGGCCGAGACTGTTGAGGGATTACCATGACCCCACAGCTACGGGATGTTGGAGGCTGCATACGGCGCAGGGATGTTGCCGAATGCACGCAGCTCTTTTGAGAGGTTTGCACTCCTTGCTAAGAGAGAATTTCGCAGCCCTTCTAGAGGCAGTTAGAGACAGAACTCCAGAGACTGACACAAGGAACTGAAGTTTATAAAGAGATGGGGGTCAGAAGGAGAGGTCATTCCAGCTGCACTCCGTTGCTGCGCCGACTGAATTAAATCGGAAAAATGTATCCTTTTTTTTTCTCACGGAGTAAGCACTTTCAGAGTCTGATTATCTGAATCACCACAGGACCTCCGAGGTCCTCCCCTTCGACTTTACAAACTCTGTCGGAAGCACCACGTCTGACAGTAAGGTGGCAGGCCCAGAGAATTCAACAGACGGACAGACACACGCCCCAAAGAAACGCCCTTCCTGGAGGCGGCCCTCCGTTACTCCCCGTTGATGGCAGGCAGGCGGCCGCAGAGGGAGGTTAGGAATCTGCAGTATTTTATCTGACTCTCATTTGGGAGGTGGGGCAAAAGTAGGTCTACCATTGTTAATATGGAAAATAATACAGTGCTTAATAAATAATAATACAAGAATAAACTCTGTGTTGACTCAAAAGAACTTTTGCCCCACCCTATGTGTATTTAACAGTCGCTGATGACGCTACTAAAGATGCTCAACAATTACTCAAAGGGTGCTCTTTCAAGTGCAAACGACCCGAATTTCCACCAGCTGGTGAACGGGTAAACAAATAGTGTATATTCATAGATGGAATATTATTCAGCCAAAAACAGGAATAACGTACCGATATGTGCTGTAACTCAGGTGAACTCTGAAAGCACTACGCTCAGTGAACGAAGTTCCAGTCCCAACAGGCCACCTGTCGGGCGACTTGATTTCTATGAAGTGTCCAGAACAGGCAAATCCACGGAGACTGAAAGTAGAGGAGTGGTTGCCAAGGGCCCGGCGGGGGGCGGGGGAGGAGAGGAACGGGAAGTGACTGCTAACAGGCACAGGCCTCTTTTCCAGGGTGGCGAAAATATTCGGGAATTTGTGATGACAGATGCACAGCCTTGGGATGAACTAAAAACCACTGAATTGTACACTTTAAAAGGATGGATTTTGTGGCATGTGAATTATCTCGATATTTGAAGAGGCCATTCTTCAGTTCTGCATTTTCAAAACTAAAAGCATTTGCCTGCTGAAAGCCTCCCTGTGCTCGGAGGGCCTGCTTTCTTGGTGGGACCCCCTTGTGCTGCTCTATGTCCGAGATCAAGAGGAAGCGATGTGAGACAAAGATGGAAGTGGTCACACGGGTTTTCTTCCGTCATGGGTTAGAGGGAACATGGGAAATCAGAACGTCAGGTGTAACTCCTGGCCACGCAGACTGAGGCACCCCACGCGGCGCTCCTACTGGGACAAGCGCAGGGGTCCAGTGGCCCTGGGCCCAGAGACACCACGAGCTCATCTTTAGAAGGCAATTCTTGCTGAGCTATTTCTTTACCTACCAGATGATGAACTGCCAACATTAAGCTATTTGTAGCATTTCTAGTGCTGAGCCTCTGGTTAGTATATTTAAAAAAAACAAACCATTAATCCTTATTAAGATCCATGCCTATAACAAGAAACTGTACTCGGAGGCAGAGTGACAGATGATGCTAAAGGACCTACCAATAGTTGGCTGTTCACAATAATTAGTTCCGTTTTATTTTTAAGTCTTTTGGTAGCTTTTTGTAACTCACCTTAATGTTGACCCTAGTTCAGGGACAAATAAGACAAGTAGTAAAATCTCAAACAGTCCAAAGATCCAATTTCAGCCCATGTTTACTTTTCCATCAGTGATTTGCCAAAATTAGTATCAGAAGCCAAATGATGTGCCAGAGCTTCCTCTCTTCCCCATGTATGACCATCTGCGGTCCCTGAACAGTGACTAGGGAAACGGAAGCCTGGAAGGCCCACCAGCTACACAACACTATGCGATCATACTGTATGTGAACACACTTCCTGTAAAACGAACAACAAAACACACACACTCGCCCCTGAAATAAATCAAGAACGATAAGTGAGGCTGACCTTTCCTATAAAAGAGACTCCTGGGGTCTATTTCAAATGTGCTTTCTCAAAACGGTTAGTCAAGAACCCTTCACTCCCCAACTGGGCCTATGCGTGCTCTAAGACAAATGAAAATCAACACAGTGTTCTGCAATGTAATCTAAACCCCCTTCATCTCCTTCTTCATCTCCTCCTTTCCTTCCTCAGAAAAGCACCAGAGTGGCCGAGCCTGGTACTCCTACCAGCTGAACACTGTTCAGTCTACATAACCTAAGTACTTAAAAAATATTATCCTTGGAAAAAACTAGTCCCACTGCTGAAGGAGGAGCTGGGTACAGTCAGGTATCACTGCAGGCAAGGTGTACAGACTTCCCTCACTTCGGCTTCCCTGGCCAACATGCTTGCCTTTACCCCCCCAGGCCGCGGTGATGATCGGTAGCTACTGTGGCGCTCCGGCCAGACACCAGGTACCTGAGCTGCTTCAGGAACTCCACGTCCGAGTTGCTGTTAATGAGCTTGATGAACTCTTCGTAGGAAGGAGCGTAGGTGTAGGCTCGCTTGTGATGCTCATTCATCTGCTCTCTGCGCTCCAGCTGGGTGAGCAGCATCTGGTTAATGTAGTCTGGGTTACTGAGCAAGGCCACCGCAGGCTTCAACACTGGGGAGGGGAGGACGCACAGCTGAAAAGGGTGCTGCTCTTTAAGGGAGTTCTCTTCAGCTTATGTAATTGAATCCACATTGGGGGAACATTTAAAACTACCCCAACGGGGACCACCCAGACACACACATACCCACCCCCCACACCTGCCTTTCCCAAATTACTAACAAAGCTATCAAAATTAAGTGCTTTGATTTTTCTCTTTTTCTTTTTTATTTTCTTTATAAGGCTCAACATGTTTTGTCTGCCCAAAGATGAAAATGGACTTCCTCCCCACTGCTGAAAGCAGACCTCGGGGGAGAAGGTGTTAAAAAGTCAGTGACACTATTACAAATTCATTCTATTAACTTTAGGTTCCAAAGTTCCTCTTTTCTCTGTGGTTGATTACATCAGCTGCTGGGTACCACCGGCTAATCTTGAAATACTGAGAGTCAATCAATGCCTAGCAAGTGTAATGTTATTTGTGTGAAATTACAAGGTAGAAAATTTTCTTTTAGGTCATATTTTCTTCTTTTTCTTACCTGGATAAGCATGTCCCTGGATATACTTTTTTCTCGTAATCACGTTATATGGTGGTACAGTTCCTTTTTTAAAAAATTTATTCCAAGTTCACAAAATTACATGTAGGCATTTTCAATGAATCTTGTAGCAAAGGTATTTTAAGTAAATGCACACTGGAGTTTGAATAGAGATACCCTTTCGTTAATGCGTATGTTACTGGTCTGGGTGATTCAAAAGCTATCCCAAATGGATGTTTCATATAAAAAGCATAAGGGCTGGTTATCCTGTGTCAAAATAAACAACAAAATGAACTCTGCACTGGGTGATGCTATATAAAAATCTGTTCATCATGGCTAAATGATGCCCTCTCTGAGTGACATTTAAACTTAGTACTTGGAAAATATTCTAAATTTCCTGAGTCCTACAATGTGCAAGGTCCGTGTAGGTGTCCTGTCACCTGTTACCAATCACATTAGTGTGTAGCACATTCGTTTGCACAACTGCCATCACAGCTGGAAATATCGATTACTTATGAAAGTCTACCTTTCATCGTGAGGATTTCTGCGAGCATTATACGTAAGCTGAGAGACTGGACATCCTTGGACGGGAGGAGACACAACACCAGAACCCGAGAACAGGTCTGTAGGAATCTTATTTCTTCGACTGAGTTCCTCAAGCACGCGTGCAACACAAAAGGCCTCGGCTGGTCTTCCTGTCTACAAAATAGATACATGAGAGAGGATAAAAGAAGGAAAGAAAATTCTAGAAACAATTCAGTTACAGGCCATTAGGTAAAAAATATTTCAAATGGGCAATGCATCGGTTTTAGTAACTTTGTCCGCTCCTCAATAATACCAGTCAAGAATTTTCTCAGCCACAGACTAATCTGGATGCAAATGCATGGCCTTTTGTGATTTCAAACCCTAAGTAGTACCAACAGTTATACATAACCTCCTAATCATAGCAATAATCCAGAAAGGTATGAGTACTTCTTCAGCTAGAATATTTTTAATATACCTAGATCTCTTCATAAATGTGATCTACAACTTCACTTTTCAAAGAAAAGAAAAAACGCTAACAAAGCATAAACCACAGGCACCGGCCAGCTTTCCTGACTGGGCGATAATGGGATTAAAAACATCTACAGCATCTCTACTGAGAACAGAGTGCATGGCTTGATGCTATATAATTCAACGGCAAATTGCCCTCCCAAGTGTTTTCCAACTAGTTCTGCGAACCCAGGTCACGGATCCCATCAGCACTGACCCGTCCCCACCTAAGGGCCATTAGGTGGTAGGATCTGAGGGAGGAATAATGGAAGACCTTTCTATACCTCCTTTTCCTACAGTATCTTGACAGCAGTTCAAGAAAGAAGAGGGAGGTATTTTTTAAAGCTTATGGGCTTCTTACAGTAACTTGTGGCCAATATTGGAAGAGAGAAAAAAACAAAGACTGAACAGACTGGGAGGAAACGTATGAGGCTCTGCATGGGAAGTGGAACCGGTGAGTGCATCTCTACTGGAGCTGTTAGGACCAGCGGCTCTCAGAGGTAAACTGCAATTTCTTTCTGCGCGAGATGAGACTCATTTCTAGAATAGGTACACTGAAACAGAAAGGCTTCCTCCCTGTCTTCTCCAGCAAACTGGAGGGGTTCGCCCCTAACGTGCAAAGCCAACAACATGACAGAGAGATGTCAGGAGCGAGCCTTTGCACATATACTAATATATGCTGACTTTTGTAACTGGCACCTTCAGTTACTTTAAACTCTAGCTATGCTGCCAGAGAGAGTTCAGTAAGATTTAGATGCTACTTTGTCATTTCAAGCACTATTAAGGGTGACACTTCACTTTAAAATATATATTTGGTTAATATTATTGTGGGAAGCTGGCTAAAAAAAATCCCACTTTTACGAGACGCTTCTTTAAATAATATCAAAATCCCTCCCAAAGTGCACACGGCCCCTTCTCTGTTCCAGAGGAAGACAGACAGCGAAAGGAGCCTGATCCTTGGACTTCCACGAATTCCTCTCCTCCTGCAGCTCAGTCAGGGGAAGACCTCCAGAGTGAGCCATAGCCCAGAAGGCTGGTCAGACAAGCTTGATCTCTGGAAAAAGGAAAGAGAGCCCCCTGCAAACTCTGAGCAGGATATTCCCATGACGCCCCCTGGTAAGTGGACATCAGGTACCGCTTCAGTGGCCGAGAAAGAATCACGAGTCCGATGGCTGCTTCTGGGTCAGGAGATGCCCATTTCACCTCTGGGGGACTGCGGCCCCAGTCCTGGAGGCAGCATCCTTTTCGGGGCGGTCTGAGTCTGTTTACCACCGTTCTATGGCTTACCTTGTGCTCTCGTGCCCTGAGTGAGGAAAAGGACCTTCCGTAAATTTCCCATGTGCACTATTACTTCTCTTTCCCATCTACACCAAGAAGTATACATGATCATCACCATTTTATACATGAGAATACAAAGGGTCTGAGCGGTTGAGTGAACAGTCCAATCACAGAGGTAATAAATGGTGAAAATAACTCTCAAGTTCAGGCTCTTTACACTACACCACAGTCAGAGACTGCACAGATGAGAGGAGGAAAAAAGCGGCAGTGATAAAGAAGCAAAATATGTGAATAAAAACATTATTTTTTCCCCTTAAACACCGTACCAGTGCTTGACTGGTAAACAAAACACAGAGCTTGTAAAGAAATGATGAAATTAAAGATGCTATCGATTTAATGGCATAAAAAAAACAATCGTTTTTAGATTTTCCTGAAACGCACCCGAACAAGACAGATGGGACAAAGGAAGTAGAAGCAGAGGCAAGAATTAAATGTCATCTCGATTGGCTTAAAGCAGCAACAGAATGTCGGTCTGGAAATGAATACGGGCCGACCAGAAAGCTGCCTCCACACGACCACCTAACAGTCAGCCGGAGGGTGTATTGCTTTTATTAACTCAATTTATTATTCTCTTGCCTGATAGCAGCCAGTTCAACCGGAGCCTCCCAGGCTTCCAAGCCATTTCACAGCCAATGGGCATCTGCACAGCCATGGAGGTTTCTAGGGTAAGGGCACAGTGTACCTGGGGCCAGTGAGTACAGAGCTAGCCATCAAACCTAAATGAGCTGTCCGCCAGTCTCCCTGTGTGATTTGTAGAAGATGACACACAAGCGGATATCAGCTCTCCAGGGTTCACCTCTGGGGCACGCACGATCATCTGTATGCAAAACACCAGTGACCTACTGGCACTTTTCAAATATCCATAGTCCCAGAGAACAGTGATGGAGTCTTTTCTTTAATAAGGATCATCAATGAGAGCTTCTAGGCACAGCCTAGATATCAGTAAAATAAATCTACCCTGGGCAGAAGGCAACTAGAAGCCCAAAGAAAATAAGTTTCTAAAATGAAATCAATTTGCCTCAACCAGTGTGGCTCAGATGGTTGGGTGCTGTCCCAGAGATCAAAAGGTTTTGGGTTCCAGTCCTGATCAGGGCACATGCCTGGGTTTGTGGGTTAGGTCCCAGGTCAGGGCTTGTGCAAGAGGCAACCAATCAATGTTTCTCTTCCTCTCTTTCTCTCTCCCCCTTCCTCTTTCTCCCCCCCCTTCCTCTGTCTCTATAAATAAATAAAAATTTAAAAAATAAAATAAAACCTCTGTTTCTATTGTTCTGATGCTTTATCTATGACATATATTACTCACAGAAGCAGTCATTTCAGAAGATGGTAAATGTCTCAATGAAAAATATATTTTAATGTTAAAATCAGATAATCATAAAAATGCCAAATTTCTCTCACCACTTGCTCTTCTCCCAAACCTAAATCCACCAGCCTTCGAACTGGAATAAAACACTGATTTAAAATACTTTCCGGGACTGGACCATAATTTAAATTTTTTAGCTTAAAATGAGCGTCCACTCAATTCAAGTCTTTGGCAGCGTCTGCCAGGGAGAACCGCGGAGCACCATACGTTTCGACACTACAGTGAGTCGGCAGGTGATCCACGGGGTGGTGAACCCTCAAAGGAGAGGCTGACGCTCTGAGACCCTGGGGAGGAGAACCACAGGCTCCACCTCTCAGGTTCCTTACTAGTTCACATGCCCCTTTACTGGAAGTAAAGTTCTCTATCAACAGCAATTTTCAAAGGCTGGTCTGGAGACTCCTACATGTCCCCAAGACCCCTTCAGGGGCTCTCTGAGGTGACGACTATATTCACAATCATAGAAAAATGTCATCTGTGTTTTATTTTTGGCCTCACAAGCACAGCGGAGTTTTCTAGAAGGCTACAGGGTGTGATGACATCATCACCCTGATGGTTAATGGAGGGTATACTGCGTTCTTGCATTTTAATATCTGACATGGTAAATACGGATAGATGTAAATGGTGAGCTGGTAAATGTTTAACAACTGGTGCTTCAACCGGGATGGAAAAAAAGAAAAGCTCTCATTTGTAGCGTTCACCCATTTCACAGTGTAAATACCCCGACATGGCCAGTTACAGGCTAACTCGACGTCACTGGTCTCACAGTCAGGAGGAGATGTGCAGAATCAGGTCTCCTAAACCAGGACAAGCTGAGCCCTGCATACCACGAGATATAATCCATAAACAAAAACCCTTCCATGTTCCTAACAACTTTTAAGAGTGTAAAGCCCTGGCTGGTGTAGCTCGGTGGATTGAGCGCAGGCCTGCGAACCAGACAATCGCGGTTCGATTCCCAGTCAGGGCACTGGGAACTGGGTTGCAGGCCAGTTCCTAGCAGTGGACACACGAGAGGCAACCATACATTGATATTTCTCTCCCTCTCTCCTTCCCTTCCCCTCTAAAAATAAATAAATAAAATCTTTAAAAAAAAAAAAGATTTCTCCTTACAAAAGAATTTTTTAAAAAAGGAGTGTAGAGGACTCCTGAGGCCAAAAAAATAGTAACTACTGCACATTAACTTTTTTAGACCATGGGTTATAGCCCACAAGGAACTAAACAATTTACTTAGCCTCAAACACCATTTTAAAAAAGTGTTAAGGAACAAAATGTATCAGTTATCACATGTAATAAGAGTATGGTTTTATGAAATTGGGTCACGATGTAAGATGTATTTTTCCCTATGGGTCCAAGTTTTTACAAGTTTGCCGGAAAATTATAGGTGTGTGATGGCTCTGTGGACTTCGGACTCCTAAGCCTGTGCCAGGCAGACTTCAGGAGAGAAGAGAGCACCGGGGAAGAGGCAAATGCTGAGAACGGCCGGCAGCTGCTGTACGAGAGTGTTGAGCGACCAGGCCTCACCGAGCAACATCGCGGGGCAGAAGGGAGTCTGCTTCCTGATAAATTCATATGACGGACCTTCTTAGAAAAAGAGGATGAGTTACCACCTTCCCAATAAGGGTACTGACTCACCCCCTTGTGTATGTTTCAAAAACTTTATCTCTTCCCTAAAAGTGCAGGTAGAATAACATCAGTGAAAATAGGCCAATTAACCATAGGCAGCCCTGTTGCTACTCCGGCTGGGCCCATTTCCAGACAGGCAGAAGGCTCCTCCCTTCAGTGAGTCCACTCTGTGTGTCCAGGCTACGAGTGCACAATCCATCACTCTTGTGCTCACTCAGGAGCAGAGCATGCATTGAGGCTCCTATCAGCAAACCTAGAAAGTAAGATTTCAGAACTGGCCTTGGTGAAGTCTTCTTCCAAAGGCAAGTGCCTACCTGAGGGGCACAGACCTTGCCCATGTAATGGCAGAAAAGGCCAACAAGCCTAACGCTAGCCATTTTCTCATTGAAACATCTCTAATCATATTGCACAGTCTCCAATATTAAGTTCCATCTAAAAATCCATTTTCAGATTTTCGTAATATTCTTAATGCAGGCTCACAAAAAAGTTGAACTTTTCTAAATATGGTAAACTCAGTGATACTTTTCACAGTATAAAACACTGTAATTTTCTATTTCTGGGTATCCATAATACTATTAATAGCTTCACAATAGTGCTGATTCAGTAAAATTCACTGCGCTGTTTAAGATACTTACAAAATTAAGTCTACAAAGTAGTTTGCTACTACAAAGTTATTTTTTAAAAATCCGTGCTGTCATAACACTATAATTATTCCCCTCAATATGTCTACATTTCAAGCCAAGTGTCAGCAAGAGACAGAGTACTCTCGAGTTTGCCTCGACTGTGGCCCCTTGATCAAGAAGAGTGATATTTTCCTGCAGAAAAGGAGGCAGAGGTTTCCCGCATTTGAACCTTTACCTGCCATTCGCGGCCTTCAGGTCACAGAAGTGAGTGAGCAAGGTCCTCACGACATCGTTGCAGACGACTTTAACGATGTCCACGTGGCTCAGTCTGTGGTGCAGCTGTTTGGCGATTTCCCAAAAGTCTTCCAAGAGCAGGTTGTAAAGCTGCCCCTCATCTTTGCTGAGGCTCCCATACCAGGACAGAATGTAGTCTCTGTAACTGTAGTCAAACACTACCAGGAACAAACAGAGCAGTGAGCAAAACTTAGATGAAAGAAGCAAAGACCGGGACAGCGTTTCTACTGGACACTGGACACCTGCTGTTTAATGTACACTGTTTAAAATACAAGAAATACAGTAGAGCCCTGGCTGGTGTGGCTCAGTGGAGTGAGTACCATCCTGCAAACCAAACGGTCGCTGGTTCAATTCCCAGTCAGGGCACATGCCTGACTGGGCATAGAGAGTGGATCTCAGCTCTCTACAGTGAGGGACTCCTCTTCCAAATGCACCCCTTCCTCAAGTGCTTTGCAGCAGCCCCAGAGACTCTTGGGAAAGTGCTGCCACTCATCTGCTAGTCCCCTATTCTTCAGAGTTCTCTTTATTGCTCAGAAATTAACCACATGCTACAAGCTAGTAATTCTTTTTATTCTAATCTTCCCCCAAGAATATACTTATTGATTTGAGAGAGAGAGAGAGAGAGGAAAAGGGGGGGAGAGAAAGAAAAAAAATCAATGTGAGAGAAAAACGTTAATTGGCTGCCTCCTGTTCGCATGCCAACCCGAAATCGAACCTACAGCCTGTGTACATGCCCTGACTGGGGATTGAACCTGCAACCTTTTGGTATACGAGATGATGCTACAACCTACTGAGCCAACCAGCCAGGACCAGGGGAAATTTTTAAATAAATGTTCTTAAGCATTTCTTATAAACTGAACTCAAATTGCTATAGCCTTAACAAGTACCCCTGTTATAATTTGCCAGCACAAGACCCTCAATTTTATGAAGGCAAGTCTACTAAAAATAGCTAATAATATTCAGAATTTCAATTAAATATACTGGCACCAGGGTTTAGAAATAGAAATTAAAATACTCTAGAGATGCAAATTATAATCACTATAGATTTTCTACATGCTTATAAAACCTCTTAGCCTTCCCAACACACATTTTTAGGCTCTGGTTCCTTATTAAAATTAAAAGTCCAAATTTTTAGAAGGCAATTTTGGTTTTAATTTGTCTCATGTTAGTTTCTTTTTCAATTAAATATTTTAAATGATTTGTTTATTGTATAGAAAAGCTTTGAAATATTAAGTTTATTAATATATTGGCAAGGACTATGTGATTAATATACTTTATTACTAAAATATATTGCATTAACCTTGGTAAAACAGCAGTTTGAAGCCTACGTTTATTAATTCTAGGCTTATTTTATTTGGGGACTTGCCTGAATGGCTTGGAAAGCTGTCACTGATACAGTGATCGAAGTAGGAGAAATATACTCCTCCCTGAGCTGTATTCTCTGCATCTTCTTAAATTTTTTTCCAGTGTTTGCTTTTTTTTTTTTTTCAGTTTTATTTTGTATTGGTTTCAGGTGTGCAGCTTAGCAGCTAGACAATCACATACTTTACATATGTTCCCCTCGGTATTCCCAGTACCCCAACTGGCACCATACATAGTTACGGCAATATTCATGCTGTTTTTTAACAATATCGTTAAATGCACAAATTTTATCCTCAACAACCACCTTTACTACAGCTTGTGGCCCTCCTTTGGTAGATCATATAATCATCAACTCTCTTGGAAATCATTTGGCTTAAAACAAAGGCCAGCAGGTCGTAAACATTAAGGACACGCCGAGGATTACTGTATAAAGTGTAACTAACTAAAGCTCTTACCCAAAGGCTTTGGACAATATTTTCTTTCAAAAGAAATCATTGAACAGGAATTAACCTGAGGATAACGTGGGTTTTGGTTTTGGTTCATTCGTTTTGTTCTGTTGTGTTTTTGCCAGCTAGGTCTCAGCCCTATCCTGTATGTCTCCCCCCAAATCACTCCTGAAATAAACTGGCCCATCCTAGAGAAACACGCCATGGCCAAGTGCAGGGAAAGCACACTTCAGAGTCTTAAAAAATTAAAGGGACACCGTGTCCACAGCACCATTATGCGTAACAGCCAAGAGGCAGAAGCAACTAACGTGCCCGCTGATGGATAACAAATGAATAAACAAAATGTGGTGTATGCAACAAATGGAATGTTCCTGGGACTTAAATGGAAGGAAATTCGGACACATGCTGCTACATCAATGGGCCTTGAGGACGTTATGCTAAGTAAATAAGCTAAATACAAAAGGCAAACACTGTATGATTCCACTTAGACGTGGAACTTAAGAGTCAAATCCATAAAGACAGAGGGTAGAATGGTGGTTGCCAGGGGCTGGGTAAGGGTGAGTAGGAAGTGTTGTTTAACAGGTATAGGGTTTTAGTTTTATGAGATGAAAACGTTCTAGAGACTTTGCATAACAATGAAAATGTGCTTAACACTACTGAAATGTATACTTAAAAATGGTTAAGATGGGTAATTTTACCTTATGTTTACTTTACTACAATTTAAAATAATTTTAAAAAAACACATTAAGGAGAGAGTTCCAGGTCCAAGGATGGTGGAGCAGTGTATACCAGACTAACCCTCATGCAGAAAACAATGAGGAACCCTGAAAAAAAAAGTTTAAGAACTATTTAAAGGCACTGGAAACAGTCCAAGTAAGTAGAAACTGAGAAAGAATCTACCCCTGAGAGAAGAAACTAATACCGTGTGTGATTCACGTTTATACAACTTCCCCTGAAGGCACTCAAAGGTCCCAGACACACAGGCAGTTCAAACTTAGACCGAACATCTGTTTTTTGGTTTGGGTGTTGGTTTGGTTTGTTTGTTTGTTTGTTTGTTTGTTTGAAGATATTAAAAAACAGAGTTAGAAACTGCCAAAGCAGCTAGAAATACAAGTAGGAAATACCAAAAAGGGTAAAGCCACAAAACCTGCGTACGAATTCTCGTACCAGTTGATGGCTCTAAAATAAATGTGCATGGAGTGGGCCTATGAGACCAGTGGAAGGCGGAGACCCTGGAAGGCTGGAGAGAGCTGAGCAGAGCCTTCAACTGCTGCCCCCGGCAGGGATTCCGTTTGGAGGCGGAGTCCCGCTGAGCTAGAGCTATGACTGCGGCTTCCACTGACACTGTGGAGGGACCGAGAAATGGGTGAGTTCAGCCTAAGTCCCAGGACTAACAGACCCACTTAGACGAAGGACAAAATCCAAATAGATTCACCCTTAAAAATGTATAAAACCAAGTATCTTCAGGGTGATCAGTCAGTTGAAAATTAAACTGCGTACTAGAATGAAACTAACATTCTTCAGAGGAAGACAACAGAATCTAGAATGTCTAGAAAGGAGCATTCACAGTGTTAAGTACACCGTTAAAAATAATCAGACCTGAGAAGATACCCAAAAAAGTAACAAACAGTTAAGAGAAAAAGCTATCAACGGAGAACAACCTCAAGACAGCCTGGATGCTAGAATTAGCATAGAGGTACTTTAGAGTAGCTGTTATAAATATGTTCAGGGAATTAAAGATAAAAATGTCATAATAAATGACAGGTGGGGAAATCTCAACAGAGAAGCAAAAAAGGACCAAAAATATCCTAGACATGAAAAGTACAATATTTGAAATAAAACATTTGCTAGATGCACTTAATTAACTCCAGGAGGCAAATTTTCTGCAATGACATTCATCTTGATGAAGGCGGTGGTTACATAGTTATAGGCATTTCTGGAAATTATTGAATTGTACGCTTAAGATTTGTGCATTTCAAAGTAAATTAACTTTACCTCAATAAAAGCAATTAAAATTACTTTTGAGATTAATACTAATAAAGTCAAATTTTAAATCCTGTGTTTTATCAAAGTCACCATACCTTGCTAATATAACAGAAACACTTTCAAAGTTTAATTACAGTCCCCAAAGTTCTGAGACTCTACGAAACCACACAATTTCCAACTGTCTCTGCCCTTACACAGCACTCATTTTCAAATGTTCGTAAGGTGATGTCTCTGACTACAGCCAGGAAAACACGCCTGCTTACATATCACCTATTCGGTTCTTTCTTAACTTCCCAATACCATGTATCCACCTGAAAAACTCACACCTCTTTTGCACATATAACTGAAATTGTCCATGTTTTTGGAAATATAATTAAAAAAACCCTTTTGAACTTTCATTCAATCAAAATATATTATCTTTTAAATGTTAGTATTTATAATTACACTTATTCCCACCTTGAGACACGTATTTTAGCACTGACTGGTGTAGCTCAGTGGATTGAACATGGGCCTGCAAACCAAAGGGTCGCGGTTTGATTCTCAGTCAGGATACACGCCTGGGATGCAGGCCAGGTCCCTGGTGTGGGGTGCACGAGAGGCAACCACACACTGATGTTTCTCTCCCTCTCTCCTTCTAAAAATAAATAAATAAAATCTTTTTTAAAAAAAGAGAGAGAAAGCATTCTAGGGGGTAGAGAACAGACCCTCGCTTCCTATGGTGAAACACTCTCCACGTGGCTGGCTAGCTTCAGGTGACCTAGAAATTCCTACTTCATAAAATGTTTACATCCTGTCCGTTCTACCAAAACATGAATATATTTATTTAGTCACCAAATAAAAATTCATGAAGAAAAACATCCTAATAGTATATGGAGACAGGAAGGAAAGACAACTTTGCTAGAGATTATTTTCCCTTTACAGTAAGTACCATAACGGCGTGCTCCATATGGCGATTACGCTCTCCCGTTTAGTCCTCACCTTCTTTCAGAGCTTTATCCATCTGGTGAGAAATGACTGTCCTTCTAGACTGAACTGTCTCGTGCGAGTTTCCATACACAGGACTCTGACATGGAAGAAAAAGAGGAAAGGCACAGATTACTAAATGAATAAATCACACATAAAAATAAAATCAGAGGTATGAAATGTCCTCTAAACAAGCAATGAGATACAGCTTATCAACTATAAAGTTCTCTGGGAGAAGTAAATAAATGTTTAAGGTCAGTTTAAAGTTTTTGAAAAAAAAAAAAAAGAATTCAGGAAGGATTTTTTTCTCTTTTAGATATCAAAAACATATGACGCCAATATCGAAATAAACCAACAGAACAGTAGAAAGTGCAAAAACATGCAAGATGTTTGGAAACGTGTACACCAAACTATTAAAAGTGGTTTTCTCTAGGGAGGGGCATAGGATTTTTAGCTTCTTACTCAATATATATCTGTGTAACAGCAAGTTCTTAAAAATTTTAAATACCACTAGGCAAAAAAAAGGTGGAGGAGAGAATATACAGAATTAAAATCCCAGGATCAGGCTAGTAAGACTACATTAAAGGGGGAAAACATTTTAAGTGTTCATATACCAAAATAATCAAAACCATGTATAATGTAATTGAGCCTACTCATTGGTTTTGGAGGCTAAAAAGCAACTAAGTAGTGTTAACATGCGGAGTATTTTTTTTGCACTGTACATATTACAAGTGTTCAACGCGCATTATCATGTCACTAAGGAGATCAAATGGCTAATATCACCATCACCCTCGTGCAACAAACCAGCCTGAGGAAATAAATCACTCTGTTCGCAGGCAGGCCACCAAACACAGCTGCAGGCAACCCCACGCGTCTGGGCCGCCATCTAGGAGCAGGAAATTTCTAGACCCAGCTTAGTTGCACACTATCCGTTGTGGCAAGTGCCAACAGTGCCATCTGTTTTTGTGACCACCTTATTAAAGACAAACAAAAAGCCATAGTCTGAAGATTCCTTCATTGAAATACTTTTAAAAGCCTTAAGTGTACAGTTGTATTCAAGAAAGAAAAGAATTTGTTTACGCTACAAATGAACATACCATTCACTGCTTTCCTGTGGAATGTTTTTAAACCCTTAAATAATCATAATCCTATCGACAAAAGCCATTTCACACGTAAAAGAAATGCACTTTCAACCATTTAAAACTATTTTTTACTCCCTGAGCAGCTTGGTATAAAATGAGGTGGTCAGTACATTTTATTACCATTTTTAAATTCTAGTGCTTTTAAGAATATCAGGAAGCTATTTAAACAACCTATGGATTTTTTGGACAATTTATTAAATTGAATTAATATTTTTAGAGCACTATACTGATAGATAACATTAACTGCAACTTTTCAGGTCTCTGACAAATAGGCAGGTATAGTTTCCCAAATACGGGTATGGCGGTTTTAGTTACATCGCTTATCGGATGACAAAACCACAACGATACCACACTTAGTTGAGAAGTTCCAGAACTGAGGTTCTTGAAACGAAAACTGCCTTCACAAGGTGGGAGCGAAGCAGGTTTTCTGTGCTGGTGTCTGTCTTCACAATTTCCTTCAAAACCTGATTTTTTTATTCTTAATTTCTCGTGTCTCCCTAGTTTAATTTCTTTTGTCTCACTCTACTACTTCTTGCCATCTGTCTGCACATTTCTTTTCTGTCTCTGCTTTATACTTAGATGTAAAACGTATGTAAACATATGTGGTCAGGATGACTGTATCTGAATAAGGAGTTAATTTATTCTCTTTAATTTAAAAAGCTAATCAGGTTAACAATTTCCATTTTGGGTTCTGTAAAAGCAGAAGGCCTGTTATTCTGCCAATCTGGTTTTCCAGTCTGGTTCTGGATTCCCCCATCCCCCATGCCCAGGGGTCCCTGGCCCTTATTAGAAAGAAAAAGGTTCTTCAGCCCTTCTCATCCCACAGACTGATGGTGAGTCTGTATGTAAGGAGAAGAGAAAGACAGCAAACATCGACCGTGTGCCAACAATAACTATATAACCGCGCATGGAAATTCCTTTCTTAGGGATTAACGTTCAAGGCGCCAGGCTCCCCTCATGTCTAAAGTCCTACACAAGTGTAAGTTTGTCACAACATACTTCATTTCTTTCAGATCACAGAAGTGGAATTGACTAATTATCATCCCAAGGAAGAGAAAGAAAAAAAGGAAGGAGAACCGTGGCTGGAGTGGCTCAGTGGACTGAGCACTGGCCTACGAACGAAAGTGTTACCAGTTCGATTCCCAGTCAGGGCACATGCCTGGGTTGCAGGCCAGGTCCCCAGTAGGAGGCACACAAGAGGCAACCACACACTGTTGTTTCTCTCCCTCTCTTTCTCCCTCCCTTCCCCTCTGTCTAAAAATAAATAAATAAAATCTTTTTTTAAAAAAAAGGGAAGGAGAGAAAGGGAAAGGAGCAAAGAAAAGGGGAGGAAGGAAAAAAGAGATAGGGAGGTAGGAAATTGGAGGGGTGGGGGGGGGCAGAAAGCCAGCTAAAGCAGATGCAAATGTGAGTAACTTCCTGTGGCCCAGAGGTCAGTGAGCAGAAATGGTCTTCATTCTCCTTCTATTTATAAGCTTGAAAAAAAGAAACTCCACATGGCAGACGCTTCCCCAAAGGACTTGTTTTTTAAGACAAATGCAACCTTTCCCTTATCTGTGTTGCCTGTGGAAATTGGGTTCTTTCACTGGATCATGAGGAAAGCATTTCAAGGACCCACACACGGGAGACTGGTGTGACAAGATGATTTATTCAGGTGGAAATAGAAGCTGCTCCAGAGTTTCCAATGTCCCATTTCCCTTTGCCCTACCATGGAAAAGGTCCAACAGCGTGTTCAGCAAGAACAAAGCAAAAGCCAGGGTCCAGAGGTCCTGCTTCATATTAAGTGCAGCTCAGTCCAGTATCTGGCTAGTTTAGCTTGTGTTCCCAGCTCCAATCTGTTGCTGTGCTGAGATAGTCAGTCTGCCCAGTAGAGCCTGCATGTGAAGTCCATGTGGCTGCTGCTAAGACCACATGGCTATGGAGAGTAGATACATGAGTGCATGGGGCAAATGCGGGGGGTGGGGGTGGGGGGAGAGAGAGAGCGAGAGAGATAGATCACATCCCTGCTCCTCTGGGATTATATTAGCTTGGGTGTGGGATGGACCAGGTACTTTTTCAAAAGAACCGATCAACTTCCCAGGCGTTCGCATGCTTTGCAATGGGTCCATTTCCTGGTTAGACTGACAGGTGGCCTCTGTGGTCCAGTATCTCCCCCTGCACCCCTCCACCAACATCTGATACTGGACAGGGGATGCTAGGAGTGTCAATTACCTTGGTGGAGCAACACTCTGATGCCCTGGGGCGTGAAAAGCTGTGGCTTCCTGGTGGAGCAAACAGGCTCATGCTCCCCACTCCATTAAACTCAATGTCTAATTCCCTTTGCTCTCCACTTTTTTTAAATGAATAATGAGCTAACTACCTACAGTAACATCTGCACAATCACTGGTCTCATTCCTCAGATAAAGCCTACCTCTCTTCCTGACAATCACTTTCCTAAAATAGCAGTTTTAGGAAAGACGAAAGAAAATTAAGAGTGCTTTTCCTATTGTCACAAAGGGTAAGTGATGGAAATCTTCAATATCCCAGTTTGGACATTAGGACTTCAAAAGTAGTCTGACCAGTCAATCAGCTTTCATTTTAAGATTTTATTATTCTTCCCACACTATTCTCTCATGAAAGCTTTTGTTAAAGTATTACCCTTTATCGTGTAAAAAATATGCCTTAATTTTCATTTCATTAAAGTAAATAAAATCTGGCTTAATTTTAAGATTTAAACCTAACTTAAAACCAACAATGTCAAGGTCATTTTTAATCACTCAGTGAGTGCTTTGGAGAAAGAAAATAAGAGGTCTCAACCTATAAACGCTCATTTCAGAAACACTTTCCACACACCACGCAAAACCTGGAAGCTCCCCTCTAATCCGCACATGTAATTATACCCTCAGCATCCAGGAAGAGGTGCCGTATCCAAAAACCCTTTCCCGAGAACATGCCAGCTTTCCGTTTGCTCCCAAATATCACTTTTAGTCCACAGCCCTAACACACTCGCACTGTGTCAGAGCTAAGACACTGAGTGTTTTGTGGCTGTGGATGCCCTCTCTCCCGAGGAAACAACAGCCACCGAGTCTCTGTGCAGACAGATCTGGGTACTCGGACGCCACTGGCTACTATACACCCAGGAGCGATCAGGCATCTGGCCAAGACATACGCTCAGCGTCCACTGTACCATTGGTATTGCTTCCCGCGCTGCTTCCCGGGGGGAGCACAGACGGGCCAGGACAGCCAGTCACGATGTCTCATTCCCATCACGCCCATTGCCACTCTCCTTCATTAGATCCTTGTACTCTTCAATTTTTTAAATTGAAGGTTTATTGGTTTATTTTGAAGGTATCTTGGTTTATTTTAAAAAGAAAAACACTTCACAAAGTTGCAGGGGTGGTGGTTATGATTTCTTGTAAAGCTACTAAAGTCGTGATTTATCTTAGGAAAACACACACAAACCCCCAACTATCACCATTAACCACATGGGGCTGTCACGTGGCCGAGCCTCTGCGGATATCCTCAGCATCTGACCATCTACTGGGATCCCATGACAAATATTCTCCTTCTTAAATTGTTGTTCTCACAGCCATGGCTCCTTTCAAACCAATCCTATTCTGCCTCGGCCTTAAATAAAATTATTTAAAACCAAAGAAAGGATGGAATCACACCTACTCTTCTGCAGGAAGGTAGGAAAGGACTGAGAAGTGAGAAAGGCCATCTCTTCTGAGACCCTGACAAGAGACGGTGACACAGCAACAGAAGTCACGCCCGACACGGAGGCTGACCAGCAGAGTCCCAGAGCCAGGAGGGGCTGGCAGAGAGTGGAAAGACTGCCGACTCTCAAGTCTAACAGCACATTTTCCTAATGAGAGATCCTGGACTCAGCCACTTCCCACCCCCACCCCTGCCAGGTTAAGCGGGCTTAGGACACCTCAGAGGATTAAACTGAATGACTAATTGAGGGGTCCAGAAGAGA